GAGGAGCTGATTGTCATCACTGCGAGTTACTCTCGCTGCGCACGCTCCGCTCTCGCCTGGCTGTGTTTGATGAGAGCGTCCAGGCTCGCGATCCCGCTGGCAGCGGTCCCGCTGTTGCCGAGGAACAGCGCAGACCCTCGGGGAACCATGGTTACATACGTAACCTAGAGACGTTTTTTAATATTATATATTATTTCAATAAATCTTTATTTAAATAACAGAAAGGTTTTTAATGGTTTTAGTTTTAGTTAATAACCCTGATCCATGCATGTGTTTCTTCTTTTCTTTTCTTTTCTTTTCAAAAAGATGTCATAGTTGGATCTTCCCATGAAAACAACAGACTTATTTCTGGTACCATATGCAGGACTTCTCCAATCATTTAGTCCTCCTAAACTCCACTCCTTTCTTACAATCAACAACCAATGGATAAAACCAAGTCCCACCCTACATTTTTCTTCTTTCACTCAAATGTACATCACAATACAAAAGAGTCTAATTAGCTATAGGAATGAAATAAACATGCATTAGTTGTTTGCTTTGTTCTGGCTTCCATACTTAGTATTATAAAAGCCAATAGAGGCCAAAACAGGCTCATTAGGCTGAATGGAATATATTTTGAGGCAAGATTGTAATGTTTATTCATGTAAATGTGATGGGGAGCGGGTTTCGAGGACGGCACAGACGCAAATGACCACAATTATAATACTCCGCAGATGCACATGTCTTTTTATTCATGAAGAAGAGATTGAACTGGCATTGAACTGGCACAGTAATGTGTCCATGTAAAACATGACAGTTTATTCACTTTCTATCCTGCCTATTTGTCATAATTTTTAGCAATAACCAAACCCAGCGACCCTGCTTTGATGTTCAGCAAACAAAAGCCGCCCGACGCATCCCATTACCGTGAATAATTAATTTGGAGATGCCTGGATGGAACACGTGGCACTCGCTCCCCATCTCAAGACTTTCCAAAATCTATCGGCCTTAGCATTGAGCCTGCTGGGAAAGCTTCGTCACACAGGGATTGACAAAGTAATTCCTCACCAGTCTGGAGCTGAGGAAAAAACAGACGCAAGGAGGAAATTAGGGAAAAGTGTCTCCTGAAAATAGTTCATATAAATAGACTGGAATCAGCAGGAGGGGGAAGTGGGACTGGGATCAGACACACAGACAATACTGGATGAGAGAGATTGGCTGGAGACATGGAGGGATAGAAAGCAGAGTGAGAAAGAGGTTGACACCATGCTGATGATTCATCTGGTCATCTCGTGTGCACACTCCACCCGCTCCAACAGCTGCTCCCGTCTCCTCTGCTGGGTGCTGTGAGAACAGGAAATGGAGAGTGAGCTGTTTTAAACATTGGTGTGTCCTACCCGTGGGGCACTGCAACAAAACAAAAGGCATCTCAACTCTGCCTTTGTCAATTATTTCATTTCTCAAACCTTTACATTTTTCTCTGCATTTTATTCTAGCATTGTTACAAACAAGACGTGGCAAGAAATAATTGATAATCTGAAAAAGATAACTATAATGTTGTGACACAAACTCTCAAGTCAGTTTCACTATAATGAATTTGTCATTGACTGTCACTCTGTCTCTCTCTCATAAAAAAAACAAAAACATTACAAAACTGTCAGTCGGGTGGTACCCTTTCAAAAGGTACTATTGTACCTTTAAGATACTAATATATACCATTTTGTGGTAAATAAGGTACAAAGATATACCTTAGGGTTTCGTATACCTTTTTTTCTGAGAGTGTGGCTACTGTGATGATGACTTCTTCTCTAAAATGAGCCGTCCAGTCATATATTGTGACCCCAAAAAGTATTTGAACACTTTTGGATGTTTAAGTCACACTTAAAAAAATAAAATTAATTCCATTTCATGCATCAGACCAAGTTGCATCTGCTATTTAGCCATTTTTTAAGTCAACAAGGTTGAGAACCACTGACTTAAGAGGAGGGTTATAAGCTCCATGGAGATCCCTGTAAAGACAAATATAGAAAAGTGACCAAAAATAACCAAAATAACCCTTCATTTTGCCTTTTATCATAATGAAATAGACACATAGTCAGTACCGTACCTGAGAAATCCAGGCAGACAGTGAATATTCTACATTTCCACACCTCACCTCTTTCCACTCTTGCTAATATTAATTGGCTGGCTTAAGAAACATCCAGGTTTGAGTGTTATACTGTTAAAAAAAACATGCAAGTTGTAGTGAAATGGTAGCGTTGCCAGGCATTGAGAGGCCATTAGAGTCGACTTTGATGGTCAGAACAGACTTCAAAATGGCAGAAGGTAGATCTGTTTGTTTTCTGCTAGTACTTAGATTATAGAATCACCTAAACTTGCATTAGAAGTACTCTCTGCTTTTAAAACCTTAGCTACACTGTCATGCATGCTAATATTCCAATGTCTATTTCTTCTGAACACCCTAAAATAGCTCAGCTAGAGACAAGCATGGAGCAGTACTCACTGATTTATTGCAAAGCTGCATTAAAGAGGTAATTGTGTATAAAGATCAAGTGTGTTTATTGTCATCAGCCTAAATTTGCACCTCAATTATCAGACACGAATGTCCTGAGCCAGGTGTAATCAAATGGCACAGCAGTATAGGGCACAAGGGTGTGAGTTTGGCACAGAGGAGTGAGCAGACAGCCCAAAGGCTTGGCACTAGCAGACAGGCATCAGAGATCAACACGTTAGCAGGGGCAGAGCACTACTGCTGTGTGTGTGTAAGTGGTGTGGATGTGGATGTGCAGCGGGACTTAATCATGACCTAAGCACACTGGCCCCAGAAAATGAGCGTGTATTTCTTAAGTAGCGTGTGTAAGTGTCTGTGTATGTGTGTGAGAGAGAGAGTGTCAAAATATGGTCTACAGTCTATGTATGGACATGTATATGTGTGTGTGCAATATCAGTTCAAATAGTTTCACAATAAAGTGAACTGAGAATTGGTTCTTATTCAGAACCGGTTGCATTTAAAAAAAAGAAATACAGGTGTGGTGTATTTTACAATCAGGTCCAGCTGGATCTTCGGTATGCTACTTTGTATTTTCCAACCCAATCATGAGAAAAGGTGACTATTTTTATACAATGGATTTGTATGGAAACATACGATTATTAGAAAAAAAGGTCCACCCCTAAACTTAAATGTCAGTAAGCAGATCGTACAAAAACCTATGAATTAGATTGTAAGAATTCGTACAAATCAGTTGTCACGAATTGCCTGCTTTGTTTTTGTTTTCATTTGTTTCTATCTATTACCTGTTTTCATTTGTTCAAGTTTCCCGCTCCTTGTTTGTTACTATGGTTTCTGATTAAAGAGTCATCACCTGTTCATCATTTGAGTTCTAGCTCCCTGTGTTTTTAAGTTCCTCCTTTTCATTCATTTGGCATCTGGTATTGTTTGTGTGTAGACATGCTGTTACGTTGCCTTCTCGTAATTGGATTACCCGAGTTTGTTTTATTAAAGAACCTTTTGTTTGTGGACATCTGTTTGAACCTTTTTCATCATCTTCCTCTGAACCTGATCGTGACATCAGTCATCAAAACAGAAAATAGTTATAAATCACCATAAGTTGTTGTATTTTCAAAAATGATTGGCAATTTTCAAACACTTTCAAATCTTATTTGCTCTAACCTATTGGAGATCCAATTGTTATCTTACTCTCTTCCATATTTGGTGACAAAATACCATGCCGAACAGACCTTATAGTCAGGGTAGTGGCATTATTAATTTTGACAGGAATGAAAACGATGCTGTGGGGGTTAGAAGTGCAATGTGTTCAATGGACTGTACTGTTGTTTAACAACATACCAACTCTTCAGCTGATGAAACATCTTTCCACAAGACTTTTTAGTTCAAACAACAAATGCGAAGTATGTTTTCAGGATTGAATCCAACACTCCACACTTTGAACTTAATGTTTTAGTTAGATATTTAGTTATATAACAGTTTCATGATTATGTCAACTAATCATGTTTGCAGAGCAGCAAGGTCTTACCAGGGAGTTCCTGGTAAGTTTTTCACAGAGTGTTCAGACCTGGTTTCATATGTCAAGTTTTGAAGTCAATATGTTTTGAACTGTATCACGTGGGAAACCGGTGATTTCATGGTGCACTCAAACACACACACTTAAGATTTAGATCTAGAGCAGTTGCATGTATTCATCCATAACATATTTTAATGACATGTTGTAGACGTTAGTTTTTGTTGACATTTCTGAATTTGTCCAAAATGTAGTGTTAGTATTTGTTGAATCAGGAACAGGACTTTGACATTGCAGTGTAAGCAACATTTTCTTGTCTCAATAGTGCGTGCAAAGATGTTTGTTATTTTTTCTTATCAGTGTGCTTGTGCAAACATTCACTCGCTGGCTAAATATATAACAATGTAGTGCAAATTTTGCCTCAAAGGATTTAGATTTAGAATTAGCCAATGTTTTAGCATATTAAAAAATTAAAAAACAATAACAGCTCCAGTGAACTGGCTGCAGGCCACAACAGAGACATATCAATTGCATAATATATAATTACCATGAGTAAACATGGGAGTACTGTTTTCTTATTTTCTTCTGAGTGTGTATGTTTGTATGTGTGTTTGTTTGTTTGTATGCTCCAGCTGTGCTGTCACTCAAGGAAACCCACTACACTCATAACACACTGGCCTTTGCCCTCTAAAGAGGATCTAAATTTGCTGTGCTGGGCAGAAATTTAACCTAGTCATAATTACATGCACACTAAAACACAATCCTCTCAGCCCCCCTAAAACCCAAGAGACTCTAGACTTGAACTACAGTCCGTTTTCCCATCCAAATTACTACCCAAAACACGAGCAAATTTAAATTATGTCAGCATCGATACACATGAAGTCAGATTTTGACTTTAGCATATTAACAGTCAGTGTTCTCTATTCCAGACACCACAGTCACAAGATCCTAGAGGCAGTGACATCGGCATGCCTTGGAAATAGAACACCTATACAGGGAATTGACCTATCGGTAAGCCTCTCCCCTCAAACGCAGATGAGCCAATGGCAGCTGAGAATCAGTTGCACGGGGACCGAAACTCAGACATCTCTAGGTTTCAGCGCCATAGAGAAACATTGGAAGATCCGAAGCTCTTATCGGTTTGATGGGGTTTATGCTACAAAAATGGTAAAACGATGTGCCTGGGGTACTTGTAACACTGATGCCAGGTATCCTGAGAGGATGGCTGTGGAAGACTAGTGCATGATTGTTCATCTTTGGTACACAGCAGGTTCACATGGTGTATTAATCCAATGATGTGGGCGCAGTAACCGATTCAACCCCAATCCCAATGAAGACGAAAACGTTCATTTTCTGGTTGTCATACTCTCATTAAGATACAATTAAAATTAGTGAGCCCATTTTAATGTACAAACCTAAATAGCTAACTGTTCTCACGTCATGTACAGTGTACATAAACGAAGGTCTACATTTCAGTGCCTCTCCATATTAAACTAGTTAAATGTAAATTAATTTAATCTTACCCTGCAGTACATGAACGGTGTTGATTCTGGATGTTGTCATCTGCGATCATGACAACCGTAACATGAGGCTTCTCCCACTTGCATTGTGATCTGTAAAGCCTCACTTCCAAATTAATCTTGTTACCCACCATATTTATTTTAAAATCTTTTATATATCCCTCCATGGCATATTTAAATCCCACTTGAATGCTCCTTGATGAGAAGTGGTCCTTCTTTGTCCAAAATTTAACAAGGTTTTCACACTTACAGCTGTCATTGTATGACCCTGTTTGTTTGTCCGAGTTAGCAACATTAACTAAGGGGGACGGGGCTAACCGATAGGTCAATTCTCCTCTTGACCGGGTTTATATAGGAGACTGGGTTGATGGACCGTGTGGCCTCCAGATGGGCACTCCGGCCTGGACAGCGTGATCAGAGGTGAACCAACGCAGAAATCTAAATGGAGCAGAAAGACAAATACGGCAGTCTGTACATTTAGTCAGTTCATTCCAGACAGTTAATGAGGACGGACACTAAATGAAAATGGTCAAATGAAGTGCATCTTAGGTTTGCCTTTGACAATAGGAAGTGTAGAAGGTGGGCTTTAATAGTAGACTGTTACTCTCCGAGATATGCTGCAGCAGATTCTACCAGTGGTTAGGGAATAGTCATCAGACATTTTGCTCATTTCATTTGAAAATACAATGCTTTGCTTGTGCTTAAATTTAATTTAATAATTATAAGTATAATAAAACCGTTAGTTCTGGTCCTCAGCTTTGATTGACTGAACATGGGTGCTTATATTTAGTCCTTTTCACAGTTTTTTTCACTCACCTTTTGTTGGGGATTCTTCATTGACTCTTTCTGCTGGATATATGGTTATGCCAGTGGGTGGAGACAAGTAACTATCTCTAAAAGGGAGTCATTGAATAATTTATTCAACCAATTCTTTCAAACAACATTGATTTGTTTAGGAATGAAATGCTGGGCCTGTCCAAATACCTACACTTGTGGTCTTGGCCACTTGAGAGCGTGTGCATGCAACAACAAGTAAGTCCACAAGACTGTCCCAGGTCTTAAAAACACCAAAGCTCAGTGCTCTTAACGCACACCAAACCCACACTTGTGTATTCGAGGCTAAGTGTATCCCATCATGCATGATAATCAGGAACTCACATTCTGAAATCGCGAGCCAACACTTGAGCCAAATACAGAAAATATGTCATGCAAGTAGACAAGTGGTCAAGTGCAAAGACCGCAAGTGTGGGTATTTGGACAGGCCTTCTGTTTTGGAGATGCACAGTAGTGGATTCTGCTTGAGATTAGTTTGGAAATGAAAGCATCAATGAAGGTTTTACCAGGAAGACTCCTAATGCCACATCATTCATTCATAACTGTTATTGGCCAATCACAGCTCGACACTTGGAGTATATAAGTACTGAACTTTCTCTTTTATGTTCGCAGTTGGTGACGTTGACATTACCCTCCATCCTCCTCCCCACCACCACCAGGTTGGTCCCTGTCCGTCCAGGGGTAGGCGCCACCTCTGCCTTCATCTTCAGGCAGGACCAGCCAAATCTGCATCACCAGGATTTGGACAAAGGACAGGGCCTATGCCAAAAAACCTTTCCATGTAACTAGACTTGATTCATTGCAGCTTGCTACCATCTGTAAATTCTTTATGGAATAAAAACCATGTAAACGTTCACCTACCCTCTGACTCTTTCTGGTAGATCTTTTTTTGTTTTAGTTATGGTTCCTGTCATGTGTTTCCCTTGCCCTTATGTAATCCTGCTATTGGTTGTCTTGTTCATGTGTCTTGTTCTTATTGGTTGATTTGGTAATGTGGTTCTTAGTTTTGTTTTGTGATTGGGTCATTGTCTTGATTGTTCACAGGTGTTCCTTGTTTAGTCATTTAGTCTTGTGTATAAATAGCCCTCATGTTGCCATTTCTCTTATGTCTAGCTTTGTTTGTGTAACCTGCTGTTGGTGACTCGACTCGAGTCAAGTCATTGTTTATTGTGTATCTGCTCATTCTTGGATATTAATAAACTGCACTTGGGTTATTACAACGCTCGCCTCAGTGGAAACGTTACAATCTTCTTGTTTACTAAATTGTTTAAAAGAAATGTCATTCTATAATCACTATAAATCATGTTGTTGTTCTGAATGCATTGCTCCTTTAGCTAAACTACGATGAAGCATTCCCACAGTAAAACGTCATTAATTTTTTAATATAAATAATATACCTAATAATAATGCACATTTATAACAAAATTTGTCATATCAACCTGGCATTTTTAATTCAGCTGCTGATGAAATGACTGCCGCCAACATTTGACTTCTTGAAAATCGAATTTTTATTTTATTTATTTATTTTTTTGATGGAGCAAATGGGAATCGTGTAGGCTACTTCTACAGATGTTTACAGTGCTAAAGTTTACTTCCGCATTCCATACCCGGATATGTGAATAGGGTTCATTCAGAACAACAGTCTGGAACATATGATATTGCTACCAAGCATTGTAAACCTGAGTGGATGCATTCATAATCTGTGAGAAACAATTTGAGAAAATTCTCACAAATATGAAGCAGAAGGTTTTTCACCTGAGCTATATTAATAATCTGCTGACCCAAACTCCATTGACCCTCAAATTTCAGAAGAAGACTCTCACCTGTCATGGAGGTTAGGAAATAAACGTGCAATGTTAATGATCTTGAGTGGGCATGATAGGAAGATGTTGGGGCAGCGTTAGCTGTACTCGTCCCTGTTTCCATGGCAACCCCAAAGTGCTGCTAGGAGTGTGGCATGTGCCAAAGCCGACTGCTTATCTCTCGTTCGCTAAGTTTCTATTCATAGTGCTCAGTGGAGAGCCACGCTGAGGATGGGCATGTGGCAGGTACAGTTGGGCTACGCAGCCCAGCCCAGATCAGACCGTCTCATGCTGATTTTAGAGAAACGCAGGGTAGAGCGTGAGGGGGGCTGGCACAGCGCAGGTGTGTGGATGGGCTGCCTGCAAAACCTCAATTCTCAGTAGTTCAGTTCAACACCTGCTATCCAACTGTGATGGGCTTTAGTGACACAGTTTTCCCCAGATAAAATCTATTAAGGCCATTTTAAATTAAGAATGTTAATTTTAGTCGTGAACAAACAGATTTACTTCATTTTGACTTTTTGATTTTCATTTTGATTTAATTGTGTTTTTGAAGAAAGCTTTCTGCCCACTTTTCAATTCAGTATGTACCTCGACATTTATTGCAATTTGAATTTATTGTTTATTTTGTCTTGGCTTGTCAATGAATTGTTCAAATGTCAAATTCAAATTTGTTACACACACACACACACACACACAACCATAAATAATATGATTTATACAGTGAAATGCTTTTTCGACTCTCTGCACATACAACAGAGATAAAATCTTAACATTTTAAAGTCAGATTATAAATTCTATCAATTACCATAAATCAGAAATATATTTTACAATGCAATGTAGATACAGAGATAGAGAGAGAGAGAGAGAGTAATGAAAAGAATGTAACAGATACTGTAGGTTACTTGTATATTTGTGGTAGGTGTATTATTTGTATTATTTTTAGTATTTCTAATAATTAATAAAATATAATATGTTTTAAAATATAAAAAACAATTAAAATAAATCATTTTTTATTATGTTATCTGTATTAAAAGTTTTATTATTTATGTCATGAAATGTACAAAACATAAATATTTCTAATTATTTGTTAGCTCTCATATCCTTACCTAAAAAAAAGCTTCCATGTATTTACGACTCAATGATCTTGACTCTGTGGTTGGACCCAAAAGTGCTCGCACAGTGAGAAGAGCTCAACTAGTCCGCCACTGGACAGTTTTTTTTTTATTTGGGCAGATGGGTTGAGCCTAGGGGACAGAACCTATGTAAATAACAGCTTTTGTGGGTGATTGTTCAAGCTCAATTGGCACCTCTGTAATGGGCTTTTGTAAAGTGGATCAGTGAGGAGAATGGCACGGCTCTATACCACAGAAAACAAGCCATTGTGGGCTCTGTCTGTTCAGTGCTAGGGACATGGAGAGTTAGTTGCTGAGAGAAATTGATCTGGCCAGGCATAACCTCTAGTCTTTCATGTGTCTATGGCTTTGGCTAGCATTGGCTTTGTTAGAATCAGCCTACGCAAGGTCTTTCCAACCCAATGATCAGCACTTTACCCCCCTGGGAGAACGGGGAGAGGCATTGGACTGCACTGAAGTCACCTTTATTCCCCATTGTGCCCACGGGTACATCAATAGTTTCAGGTAGAAGCCTGAGCAAAAAAACTGCTGGGAAAGACACTTTGGAATAAGGGAATCAGCAACAGCTTGCTGTTGTATTGTAGGCTGCCTATACACAGAAAACACTCTATACGAACTGTTTTACACGTTTATGCAATAAAAGTGTACTCATGTATTTGGAATAATGAGTAGATTGTTCAGTTTTTCCATCGTTGTTTTTGAAATATAGGTAACACTTTACATTAAGGTTCCCTTTGTAAAGGGTTTACAAAGGTGTTCATAAATGACTAATAACTTGTTTACAAATGCATTATAAATAATTGATAAGCAGTTCTAAATGCATGAATAAAAAGGGTAATTTTAATGCAATACCTGCCAAATAGTGAGCCATTTTTAACTCACATGTTATAAATGCTTATTAATATATTTGTTCATACTTATTTCACTCAAAAATAGACTAGCAGCAAAACCAGACTATTATAGCGACACTGAAGGGTGTTGTATTTATGGTTTTCACATTTATATCTCATGACTCAAATTTTCTTATATTGATTTTTTTCCTCCAAAATACATTTTGATAATTTCATCTTGGTAAACAAAATATATCAGTTTTTATACATTGCTGTGAATAGGCATCATGAACTTTTGCAGAGTATCATGGGTAAGATACAGTATTTTCACCGAAATCTAGATTTAGAAATACCAAAAGTGTCACTTGATTGTGTGGAACCCATGAATCAGGTGCAATACTTCATTATTTCTAGATAATAAGATGAAGACAGATTTTTCAAATGCTTCAGGGACACATCATATCTTAACTGAAAGGGACGAGTCTGGACACATCCTACTGGCCTACTTTAGACGGTACTTTGTGGAACAGAGTGGCAAGCATGAGGGAGCTTTTTTCTTGGAACAGATCCCAGGATGTCTGAAAACCCTGGTGAAATCGCCAGTTGCCACAAAGTTAAATAAACTGGGTCATTTAGTTTGGACAGAGACTGGTATTTTAAATAACCCCACCTGATAATACCTCTTGGTCTATATACGTTCATTCTAACTCCATTCACACCAAGCACAAAGCAGTGGGTCAAAATACCCTGAACTTCAAATTTGGAAAATGACACTGATAAATTTATTTATTTCTGTCATCCATTTCTGTCACGCGATGGAGTTTAGGTTCCTTGCCACTGTAGCCTTTGGCTTGCTTAGTTGAGTACACTTAATTTTTGACATTATTGTAGACTTGATTGCACAGACACTATTGGATGAAAATGAACTGAGCTGCATGTTGGCGTCACTAAATGAACGATGAACTGACTTAAACCTGACTTTGGAAAATTGACTGTTTACTATTGTGCTCTTTTTAGAGCTGCTTTATAGCAGAACTTAATTTTTTGTTTGTATTATTGAAAAATTATTTTCCTGTTTAACACTGTAAAGCTGCTTTGGCACAATCTTGGCAATAATATTGTAAAGCGGTATATAAATAAAGGGGACTTGACTGGGTTGACTCGGTGTTACCAAAATATATATATTTATTATTCCAAGAAGAGCTGAATATAAAATTTTAGATAAGCCATACTGTTTTAAAATAATTAGTTAAATTACCTGTAACCAATATACAGTTTGGTTACCAATTCTTTATAATATTTTCTTTCATGTTCTGCAGATAAACAAACAAATGAATACAGGTTTGAAATGACATTAGAATGAGTAAATTATGACAATCATTTACTTTTACATTTTTGGGTGAACTATACCTTTAAGGGAAGTTTAACTACACTGTAAAAATTAATCATGGGACTTGTAATTTTCATTAAAAAAATTAAGGTTATAATTAAAAATAGTGTGTATATTTTAGTAAAGAAATCGTGGTTCAGTGTTGTATAGAAAATATTGAGAACTAATAAAACCAAGAGATTATGTTTTCCTCATATTTTTTAAGGAAACTTAAGCAGTTTTTAGGCTTGAATTGAGGAACTGATTAAACTGAAAAAAAAAATTAAAGAAAGGAAGGCTACCTGTTTATTTTAAGAGAATTAGCTCAATGTTGCCGTTTTATTTTGGTGGTGATTGTTAATTCCCATCATGCTTTGCATATGGCTGGATATGGAGAGTAAATATTGAAATTAAGTGCTACTTTATGTGTTTTTAAGTAAAGGGAAACATCTATTAATGTTTAATGTAGGGCTGTGCAATTAATCTCATGCGATTGTCATGCGCATCTCATCAGTAAAGCCGGTGATTAGTAGTAAATCTCCATCACCTGCTTTCAGATGGAGCGGCATTTACTACACAAAACCTTAATTCACTGACAATTAGGCAATATCGCGTTCATTATCGCAGGCGATTCAATCTGCATAATGAACGCAATATTGCCTAATTGTCAGTGAACTATGGTTCTGTGTAGTAAATGCCTCTCCATCTGAAAGCAGGTGATGACGATTTACTACTAATCACGGAACCGGCTTTACTGACGAGATGCGCATGACAATCGCATTCGATTAATTGCACAGCTCTAGTTTAATGTTCAGTTATGTTTGACATTTGAAAGAGTTTCTGTTGTGTTGAAGTTTCTATCGTTACCACTCTCCAGAAGAGTAGAGCTTATGGTTATGGATAACTGCATACCACTATGAGGCATGATGATTTGTTCAATCAGCAATAGCTTTGCTAATGCTAGTGCAGTAAAGTTGTTTTCCTATTTGAATTATTTGGCTGTATACAGTCTTTTAATTGAACAAAATAACTCAAAGTCAAATATAAACAGGATTTACAAATCATGGACTTTTGAGTATCAATGTAAAATAAATGAGCACGTTTCACTAATAATATAAAATCATTGCGTCATAGATTAAATAATTTAGAAGATTTTACATGATTTATTCAGGTAGATTCCATTTTTAAAAAATCAAGCCTTAAAAACTACTCAAAATTTTACCTGTAATATTGTTGCCATATTTTTTTAAGTAGATACCTCATACCATTTTTTGAATCCAATTCTATATTTTGCAAATCGCAAATAACTAATAATAAACTAATAATACATGGCTATAACTTGAATAGCCTGATATGTTTCTGCCATACTGTTCACCGGTCATTCAGCCTCAGCAAAAAACAGTGTGTGACATAATTATTCAGAAAAACTCAAAGGGGTGGTTGATTATGATTTCACTTTTTGAACTTTAGTTAGTGTGTAATGTTGCTGTTAGAGCATAAATAACGTCTGCAAAGTTACAACGCTCAGAGTTCAATGCAAAGGGAGATATTTTCTTTTAAAGAAATCACTGTTTAAGGACTACAAAAAACGTCTGGTAGGGACTACAACGAGCTTCATCCTGGGTTTGTGACATCACAAAACCCGATGTTTACATAAGCCCCGCTCCCAGGAACACGCAACTACCCGTAATGGCAAAGACGGGGGCGTGACGTTTCCAGACAACGTGCAGTAGGCGGTTAGCTAATCACAAACACACTGAGCCCGCTAACCAATCAGAGCCCATTGCGTATTTCTGAGGGAGGGGCTTCATAGAACCAGGAACTCAACAGACCGTTTTGACGAGAATGGAAACTACGGTGTGAATAAAGGTAAAATATGTGAAAATAATGATTTTTTTTTTTAAACGAAGCATGAACACACGTTACACTGCACTCCATAAACACAATCAAGCTTTCGAAAAAAGCTGATCAACCACCCCTTTACTTAAGAACAAGAGGGAATATCAGGTCACTTCTCAGAAAGTTCTAAGATCAATGAACAGTAAACAGCATCACCTAGTAATTCTTATTCATTATGGAACAGTGTTCTGTTTTGCAAACAGAAGGAAAAATCTTGCTTTGTCCGTGCGATGACAGAATCATTTCTAAAAAAAATATTTTATTGTATTTACTTATTTTTAACAAATCTTTTAGTACAAATAAATGATTTTTTGGCTTTATTTATTTATTTATTTTAGTTTCACCTTTTTATTATTAATATTATTGTTCATTCAGACCAGTCTAACATTTTAATATTGATGAGCAAATATTTTCCCAAGAGTGTTTATTTAAGTTTAAGTTATGGATCAGTCTCATATCACAAGTGGGATTCTGTTCTCTGAAATTTGCTGAAATGTTCTAGAATAACAAACCCTGCTGAATGTGCCCCAGGTGCGTTTGTAATGAGATGGAGCTGCATGCGTGTCACTGATGTAGGCCATATGTGAAGCGCTCTGACAGGTCCAGCAGAGGTGAACCGACTGCACAGTGGAGCACGTTTAACATGCTTTATGCTCACCAGTGAGTGTGTCCCCTGTGGGTCTATGTCAGTACTTGTTTAGTAAAATGCAAAACTTTGTGTGAAAGATAACAAAGTGACAACTACTCATAAATATCCCTGTCAGTATATTCAAAAGCAGGTAGTGATCTCTGTTTTCTGTAGAAAAGGTGATTTGTAGCAAAACGATTGTATAATAGAACATGCCTCTCCTTTCCTGAATGATAGGAGACATTGTGACTAGTCAGCAGACTGAATTGGGAAGTGTTGCAAGCCAGTGAAATACCACGATCTCCACGGTCTGGCCCCGGAGTATTTATCTCACCTTTTAATAGCCTGCCTTATACTCCAAATCGAAGTCTTCGCTCTTCTCAGCAGGGTCTGTTTGGTGTCCCTCAAACGTTACGTTACGGGTATTCAAGTTTACGTTCCATGGGTGACAGAGCTTTTTCTATATCTGCTTCCAGGTTGTGGAACCTACTTCCAGTTGAAATTTGGAAGCACAGTCTCTTTGCGTTTTTAAAACGCATTTAAAAACATATTTTTTAAGCAAGCTTATTGTTGATTGTGATAATCATTGCTGTTTCTGTTTATTTTATCTTCCTGTGCTCTTTTGTTTATTCTGTATTCCTGTTTTAATATTACATGTACGGTATACTCTTACATTGTAAAGCGCTATGAGAAGCTCCTTTAAAGGTGCTATAGAAAATTGTCATTATTGTTATTATTATACTTTCTGCGTATTACATTAAGTTAAACCATCACTACTCAAAAATAAAACCCACAAATAAAATAAATAAACGTAGAGTTAGAGTGAAATTAAAATCCCTTGTAATATTTTGTTTATCCTCGTTTTCATATTTTGATAACAACAATTTAAATATTTACATTCCTTTAATTTATTTTGTTCTGGCACTGTAAATATTTACTGTCATGTATTCCTTAAGAGAAAGTCACTGATTACATGGAAATAAATTCATCGACGGCAATGTTTACCTTATGTGTGTTATTAATAGCATGTACTTAATCACAGTATTGTGAACCCACATTAGCTCATAGCTAAATTTCAACATTCATCTATGTTTAGAACACACTAGTGGCCGTGTTAGCAAACACAACCGTTTGCACACACGTCCCACTCCATCATTTGCGCAATTTCAACCTTTGAGCGAAATTTCAGCCTTCTGACCCAACACGCGCCGTGGACAGTCCGCGCGCTCCAGCGCGAGCTGTAGGCGGAATCGCTCGCGCTCTACTTTATGAATGGATGGGAGTGGCGCTGTGGTGTCAGTGTCAGTGTCGTCACGCTGTTAATAGGCGCTGGCGTTCGTCAGTGGACTTGACAGGACAGCAAGTGGACAGCATACGACAGCAGCCAGAGCGGGCATTAGGGGCAAAAGGCGACTCGAGGCGATAGGGTGAGCACGCGACTGTGACAGACAGGGGCAGCTCACATGTTACAGGGTGGGAGGATGGGTTAGGGGAGACAAAGGAATCGCAGGCGTGTAGTTTTTTGACCGCCCATAGACAACTTGGACACATTTCCGGACTGCATAATAAAAAGTTACATTCCCTGTTATCGCGCTGATGGTCTCGCATGATTCACACAGCGACGTTTTGATTCGCGCGATTCATTTTATCCCCAAACCAGCTGAAAGACCTGCTTTGTTTGGTCATTTTTGGGGGGTTTGTGGTATACGTTGCTATCCCGAACTGCATTCCGTTAGAGTTGTGGCAAAGCAGAGAGATAATTGTATCAATCTCTTTTCAAAGGCGTGACAGAAGCAAAAGGGCGAGACAGAAAACTCGCATCAGCACCACGCGAGCACACTTCGTCTGCTCTGTTTGGAAGAGACTCCGAACCGAAGCCCGTCTTTACAGGATCTCAGAACTATTGGTCTTCATCTGCTGTCCCTCCCAAGAGTTTTGAGCTGTCCCAGCTCAATGACTAACTCCTTTTTCTTTTATCTTTATGGAAGAAGGACACAAAACCGTATGGTTTTGTAAGTAGAAGGCAGTGAGCACTTTACTGACGCGCATAACCCGAAAGATTCACGAGGCGAAATCACATCAAAGGTAAGTGTTTTTTAAAAGAAACTTTAAGTTTGAAATATTATTTAATGTTTTATTGTCTGTATTTAGTGTGATTGACTGTTTTAGCCCATATGTGCATTCGTTTGAGTTTTTCTCAGTTTTTAAAACGCAATTCCTTCTTTTCTTAAGCTCACCTTAGTCCGCCTTGAAACATTGCTACATACTAAAATAGTAATAAAAATTCAGTTTAATTGTTGCCTTAAATTTTAAATCAAAGTGGTGCCAGTGACAACGTGTGATTGCACTTATAACCTACTGTTCATTGCACTTTTTCAACCCCTCTCAGTTGTTCTTCACTGAAAAAAAATAGATTTGAAATTCTGAAAACACAATTTTTTTATAGAAATTATGTTAATGAGTAGAATCAAAATGCTGTAAGCATAACGATTAAAACATCCTTTTACAACAAAAAAAAACCACTTCATTTTAGCAATTTTTAACATTTTAGCAATTTCTTCGTAGGCTTACCGTCCACTAGGAGGACTGTTAATCTGTTGTCATGCTCTGGCTGTGTCTTAAAACCTATCTAAATGCCTTTGTAGAACACATTCATTAGGTGCATTCTTGTTAAAAATATTGCAGGTGCACATGATGCCCACGAATGCTGTCTATATAGGCAGCTCAGTATGTTTTGAGATACAGCCAGTGTTTGTTTTGTAAACACACGCACAACAAATCTGTGAGTGTCACTGGTGTAAATTACATGGGTTCAGGATTCCACTACACCCAGGATGTTCAACCAGGGATCCCTAAAGATACTCAAGGGGCGTTAGTGGGTCATGACATTATGACAGCCCAACTATATCAATTTTTTTTACTTTCCAACAATCTGTTAAATGTTATACTTTAGATAATGTTTTTAATCATTACAAAAGAAAATTTAGTTTTGTTAATCCTATGAATCCATGGGTTAGGTAAGAGTCTGGCTGAAAGATCCTGACCCTGCTAAGATTGAAAACCCCTGCGCTTCAGCAACACGTAATGCACGTTTACAGTTACAGTAAACTCAGTCCTTCCCTATATAATTGATGTGCATGGCACTTTGTAATGAACTCATATTGGTTCCACATTTCTCCCCGTAAATTTTGAGGAATTCGCACAGCTGAGTAAACACTGACTGTCTGGTCATAATCCACACCACACCCTACTGCTGTATTGTATTAAAAATGAATCAGAGTATTCTAAAGCAAGAATAAATGCATGATAAACATTAATAGTGTTTGTGTGCGAAACACCCATCAACTGTATTTGCATTTCAATAATAAGACCAGTTACAGAAGGACATTCTGTGTTATTTCACTTTGATTTGTGGATTAATCAATAACTTTTTATGCTATGATGCATGTCTATGAGTTAATGGAACTTGCCGTGACAAATGTTTAAACTCAGATTCATATCTATAGGTTTAAGGCTGATTGTGTTATTTGGACAATGCAAACCTGACAAACAATGAGAACAGTAAATGCATAATTACTAGCAGTTGAAGACAGTTAAGGAACACAATTGCATGTTTTTCCAGCCATTTGTTATCTGTCATGGAACTAAAACCTCTGTTTTTTGGGTGAGGCAGACTTTGAAACATGTTACCGCCTTGTCTTTCTCTCTCTCTCTTTGTCTCTCTCTCCTTCTTTCTCTTTCTACTCCATCTCCAAGAGATTGTTGTTGGTGATTTGAGCTTTCCAGCATGCTTGCACTCCAAACATTCCAGGCCACTCGAGCACCAAAGATCTGGCCAGCTCCACACAGCTGGGAGCTATATAAGAGTGTATTGAACAACATCTTTAACTTGGTCTTGGGCTCTCTATGGCCTGATACAAGAAGGGGGAGAGGGGGCGTTCCGCATTCCACTTTCTCTACCGGGGCAAAGCGCCATCCGGATTCCAGTAGGAATACACAGAGAGGTAGAAATTCCAGTGTGCAGATAGAGGGACGTGTCACAACACAAGGCAGGATGAGTGAAGCATGCACACAGCACACATGAGAAGAAATCTGTATGCTAAATACACACATAACATCACACAGAGACAAGTGCTGTTCATTCTTGGTGCCTGTCAGCAGCTGACCTCTGCACACACGCATATACAAACATGGGGAAAACAAACATGCATCTTTTCCCCAAAGCACATGATGTCAGTCTGTGCCAGAGCAATGCAGTTTAGAGACACGGTCATTGTACAGTGTTCTGTCTCCCTCTGTGTTTTTGGCTGCTCTCGCAGTTGTTTTTGAAAGGGGAGAGTCCGCGTGCAAAGAAAGTTGAGGCCAGGACAGCAGGCCAATAGCGAGAGAAAAGAGTGGGAGAGGGAACGGAAGGAGAAAGAAGAGAGTAGATCCTTGGGAAGACTCACAAGGGGTTGTGGGGAAAATAATCTCGGCAGCATACAAAAAGAGAGTTTGTAAAGGGGAGTGAGAATGAGAGACAACTGTAAACTTTAGTAATGCAGTGAGTAAGTGAACTTTTTGAATAGTCTCACATAGCCGGACTTTTGACTTGCGGTAAAAGTCTGGTCCTTATTGTAGCTTATTCTGGAAAAGAACTGCCCACTTACTTAGAAAGAGACCAACCATCTGACATGTACAATGACCAGCCACAGTTTATCTATTTATGTATTTGGCAGATATCAGAAAACAACTGTAATATCAGATTCTGCTCATGTATCAAGTTTACTTATTAGTAAGTGCCTCAAGTAAAACTTAACTGATAAAAATCATGTATGCCCTTCTTTTCAGGGGTAGTGCCAGCCATTTGGAACAGGCGATTTTAGGCAGTGCTTGCCATTTTTGAGAGTTATATGCATTAGACTCTCAGTGAACAGACTGTGTGGTCCGTGGACATGGTGCCTGAAGCTGAGACTAGATATTGCGAAACTTTGCTAAAAGTCTTATACCCCTTCTCGCCTCTTTTCTATCTTTTTTTTAAACTTGGTTCGTACTCTTTGTCACTCTTTGTCTTGTCCCTGTTTGAGCAAATAGAGTGATACAGAAGCCTTTGGCCATACATGGAAGTACCGCTAATAATGCACACTTGCCAGAAAATAAATTAATAATTAAATGGATAAAGTTTATTTGTTATAATTAAAAAAATATTATAAAATGCTAAAATTGCACCTCATTGCTTTGGTTGTAAAACTTTTAGTGGCATTAGCATGTTTCCTGTATACAGACACATGCAGTACATGAGTGACAGTGCTGACAGATGTGAGGACAGGCAGGTGTTATGCTGAAATTGTCCAGTGATAAGGTACACTGCCCCTCCCCCACGCCTTTCCTCACCCTGTCTCCTCCCTGCCCTAGTCCAGATTCCCTCTCCAGCTCCTACTCTCCGTCAGTCTGTTTATGTGTGTTTGCTTCCATCAATGGAGACTGCAGATAGGGTTGCATATTGCACAACTATTGACACACTTTTGGGGAGTATGAACTCAGTCACCCAAGACTGCTTGCCACTTACAGTCATCACCTCCTGAAATTAGATGTCTGAAGTTTTTCATCTGACAGTATTGTTTTGAATTTTGCAAAGCTTTTTTTTCATACAATCACAGACAATTTAAAAGAATAACTTTTGGGTGCTGCATGAAGTGATTCTCTCATTTTTAATAATACATTCCAAGGTCTGTTGTCTGTGTGGCAGCCATTTTATTTTTCAAGTCATATTTTGTTGCGTGCAAATTTTACATATTTACTCAGGCTGCAGTTAATGTACTGCAGGTTTGGTTGCTCTGACAAAACAGTTGACAGATGTTGATTATGTGTCAAGTTTTCTTTTTCTTTTTCATATCATGGCGAACATTTGAAAGAAGAGTAGTAACATTTAAAACAAAATTGTAGAAAAATTCTGCCAATCAAAATAAAAGTAACATACAGTATCTGCAGTGGCAGATCCTGGCATAGGGAGTATCTGGTTGATTATATTACGTCGTCAAGTCAAGTCAAGTCAAGTCACCTTTATTTATAGTGCTTTATACAATACTGGTTGTGTCAAAGCAGCTTTAAAATGTCAAACAGGAAAATAGTTTGTCAACAATGCAAGAAGACAATAACAGAGTCATTTTTTCCAGCTAAAGTCAGTTCATTGATGATTCAGTGATGTCATCATCCAGTTCCGCTCTCTTCCCCAACTAAGCAATCCAAAGGCGACAGTGGCCAGGAACCAAAACTCCATCTGTGACAGAAATGGAGAAAAAACCTTGGGAGAAACCAGGCTCAGTCAGGGGCCCAGTTCTCCTCTGGCCTGGCGAAACCAGCATGGCGTGGTTTAATTCCAGGCTGCAACACAGGTGCAGAGGACTTGTCTGGTCGTCGAGGTGATGAGGTCTTCACAGGGGATATGTTTCTGGGGCGCATCTAGTTGTCATGGTCTCCGCTGACATTCAGGGCAGTAGAGGTCGTCTTTAGGTGCTGATCCACCATCTGATCTGGATACAGACTGGATCCGTATGGCTACAGTGATCTTGGAATAAGAATGAAAGAGACTAATATTAGCGTAGATGCCATACTTACGATGTAGCGAGTACTGTACATCGGGTGTTATGGGAAGTGTTACCGGTTCCGGTTGACCTAATTAATGCAGCCTAACAATCTTTTAAAGGGGTCATATGATGCTTTTTTAAAGATCATTATTTTGTGTATTTGGTGTAACAGAATATGTTGACATGCTTTAATGTTCAAAAAACACATTCTTTTTCAAATACTGTACATTATTGTAGGTCCTCTATGCCCCGCCTCTCTCAAACGCTTCGTTTTCTACAAAGCCCCTCCTTCCGACAAGCGCAGTCTGCTCTGATTGGCCAGCTGACCCAGTGCATTGTGATTGGCTGAACACCGCAAGCACTCGTCGGAAATGTAACGCCCCTTACCATAATCGCGAGCTTCATCTTTCAAAATAAATGTAAAGACAGAGCCCGAAAGGGGAACAGAGTCGCTTGACAGACACAGTGATGAAGATGGTATGTGTTTGCATTACACAAGCCACGGTTAAGACAGCTGAC